TGATATGTCTCTCAAATTATATATATAGTGGGATTTTGCAGGTGTTGGTAATAGTTGTTTTGAGTTTTAAATTCCTTAATATAATTCGATTGTAGAATTTACAATTTGATCTCGTAAATTTTCTATTGATTTAGACACAGGATTCTATTAATTTAAAAAATACCATTCTAATAAATGAGTAAATATTCTTTATAAAGATTCGGTTTCGAATGGTTCAACATATAATAAATTAAAATGTCTCATGTAACTTTTTAAAATAAAAAAAGATAAATGTATATATATATATATATATATATATATATATATAAATATATTATAATATTTATATATATATATATTAATTTATTTATATATATATATAAATTATATATTCTACCGCAATGTTACAGAATTTCTTCCGCCTGTAGGAGGTAACATAGCAGTTATAAAAATAATATCATTTAAAAATTTCCATGTTTTATCTTGTAAATCATACCATCCCATATTATCCATCCATTATCTTAATAATTCAATAGGAGGTTGAGCTCCATATTTTTCTTTAGCTGGCATATTTAAATCGTCTATAAAAATAACAATAAACCTTTTATTTTCTTCGGGACCGAAATGTCCTTTCCTTCTTCGTGTACATACTTTAGATTCTATTAATTTCTGGACCTAATTAACATTCGTTTATCCTGAAAAAGAAGTTTATAAATTTGCATAATCAGAGTTTAAATAATTTTTATTTATTTCATTTATTATGTTTGAGGTTTTACCTGTTCCTGTTGGTCCACATATAATTAAATGTATTTTATTACTTATACATTTATGCATAAAGTAAGTATTTCTTATAGAATCATTTGTGGGCACAAAAATACTATGATACTCACCTCCTTTTGGAATTTCGAATTTTTTTTCTGTTTAAGTCCAATTAATCCAAAATCCTTTACTTTTATCATAACATAAATCAAAAATAGATTATTTTTCCTAAATATTAACTTTAATAGCCCTCGGTTCAAACGGAATTAATAAATCACCTTAAATATTATATTTTACAGGCACATCTATATTAGCAGTAATAAGTATTTATACAACTCATGGAAATTTTT